TTTATACCTCCTCAGCATCCAATCTCAAGAATTTTCAAGTTCAGATTTTATATTTCGGTAAATATCTGTTATTAATTTTTATAAACTTCATTATCTAATTCTTGATGAAAACATTTTTCAAATAATTTTTTATCTCTATCAAACCGTCCAGTTTTAGGAACAGATATTTGCTTGTATATTTAGTATCCAGATAATGTTCTTAAAGCTCGTTATGGTTTGTGTAATGAAGATAAAAATAAATCATGTATATGTAATTGGATAAAAAAAGAAACATCAAACAATGTTCAATGACCGAATGATCACCTCTAAGTAAACTGTTACTTAATAAGGATTAGATAAAATTAATGGATATATTTTGCAATTTTTTATTCATTTCTTCCCCTGAACTTTTCAATCTTTGAATGAAAATAGACATCATCAAAAATCTATATTTATTCTGAAATTATGTGCTTGAAATATAGTTTTAAAATCTCTAACATCAAAGGTTATTAATCTACACTTAATTAACGTTAAAACGTTGCACTTAAATAACGTTAAATGTTAATGTCTTAGTCATTATTGTTGACTACTAAAGGGTTGTTGAACTTGTACCAAAACTTAGAATTAGCACTATCTTCAAACCAGCCGCCGGATGTAAAAAACAGACAAACAAAGAAAAAATTTAAAATTTTTATTTGTCGCATTGTTATTTATATTATAATAATTGGATGTTTTAATAATATATTGGTCCGTTTTCTTTTTACTTTTTGGCCAGTTTGAGTTTTTATCAATCATGTTAATATTTTAATTTTAAAGTTCGAATACTTTTTTAAAGGATTTTAGAATATATATTTTATTAGTCCCTTTTTTTTCTCCATATTACTTTTAGTTTTCTTCAAAACAAAATTTTCTTATTACTAGCGTAGAATCATTTTAAAGTTATTGTCTTTGTAGTAACTTTCATTAATTTCGGGATCATTATTTATTTTTGAATTATGAATGCAATCAAAATAGATTGCAATTGGGCCCTTTTTTTAAAGTGATGTATCAGGACAAATTAAATGGGAGATCACAGGATAAGAACAGTTTATGTCCATAAAATCCTGATTTGTAGAAAAATTGGTATAGCGCAAAGAAAGTAATTTTTTTTTAATTTTTTTTACAATACTATTCATTTTTGCCGTGTAGTTAATCGTGGGGCCAACTAGTTTTCACGTTATGATATCTCAAAACTTAAGTAATCCTCCAAATTGTAACAAACCGCTATCTAATCTTCCTTTTTGTGAGAAATGGACATAAGCCGATCTGCTAAGGCACTCCGACAGCAGTCAGTTCATGACAAAGTTGGGATCATGGAGTTTAAAACTCCACAATTTCAAAAACAACGGAATGGTGGCAGCAATGTAGTTATCATTGCGCACTAACCGGTACCTTAACCACTGAGCAATATCGGTTCACTTTCAAAATATTTCAGTTATTCTGTTATTGATCTCACAAAAAAAATCGTTATTTTTTGTTCTTTATTTAAATTTTGACTTTACCTTGTTTACTTCCAAGTCTTGTAACTGGCTGATGGGACGGATGGAATCAATTTCAACTAGAACGTCAAAAAATCGATAAAATAATTAATGCTATAACTCCGGGTACAATGTAACTGGCCTGTAAGTTTTATCTTACTATAAATCTACTGTTTTTATGCATTTTATAACCAGCGTTGAGCAGTCAACCCAATTCTGAAGTTACGACTTCCAACGTTCAACTCAGTATTCTTGTAATTTTGTACCCAATTCACAAGACAAGGGAACTCCTGAATCAAGCAATGGGACAAACTAACCTTTGGGGAGGACGCTTTGCTGCTGAACCACCACGACTTTAAATCTGCTGTTTTATTTTATTCTATTTAAACAGCCGAACTAATTCTGAGTTTACAACTATCAATGTTACAATCTGTAGCTTTATAATTTTGATCTCAACTAAGAAGACAACTCTATTATCAATATAGCTTTCATAGAACAAGAAATTTTTCTTTAATTTTGAGATTATTCCCTCGGTGACAGTGACCTTTTAGATATCAATAATAATCAACGAAAACTCAAGTTTTATATCTCAAGTCTTTGAGCTGACAAATATCTAATTATTAGTGGTCAAATATAGGAACGGAAGTGTCGAAGAGAATTATTTTTTTCTTCTTCTCTTATTAATATTTCGTTGACTGGCGTCATTTTTGACCTCCATTTGTTCATTAATTAATATCAGAATCTATTTAAAGATGTGAAAACTTATGATAGAATATTCTTTTCCAAAAACACGCATAATTAATTTTCATAAGAAGTCATTTCTGAATATGTAACCAGTTCCTTCCATGCAACTGTCGCAAATCGTAATCTTTGAATATAGAATATGAATAATAAACAAATACGGAGAATGATATATATATGTTAGTAAACAAATATGCTAATAAACAAATTAGGAGTTATAACCACAACTAAAATTGATAATGACTCTATTTTTATCATTCGAAACGGAATCGTATCAGTTTAACAAAACCAACCTTTATATTATAGATTAATTATAAGATGTATTATAGATTATATTATTAGAAGCAACGTAAATAAAATTAAACATTGCCTAACGTGTGTTTGCTCATGGGCACGATTTTTCAAAGATTGATATGTTTTATGGAATTTTGTTTCTTAACCCTTTAATGGGCCCTTTATTTCTAGTAATAGTAAATTAAAGTATTTTTGGAATTAAAATTGTTTTAAGAACAGTAATTGATGTAAAAAAACTCATTTAGTTTATAAAAATGCCATTTTTTTGGTGGTAAATATATTTAACATGACCTATTATGAACTTACTAACTTTTATTTTTCTTTATTTATAAAATAAATTCCTTAAATGCTACAAACTTCAAAAGTAATTATGCATTTTATAACTTTTATACGTTTTTTAAAAGTGACAAATGGTTACCAATTTTATTCAAACTCACTTCAAGAAAGCTGAAGTTATTGAAAAATGGAAACCTAAATTAAAAGTGGTAAAACGTGGTGGTAAGTATACTTACCACGGCCTTCAAAAGGGTTAATGGGATAAGTGACTTAGTGTGGGTATCTCGATATTGATTGGTTGTTGAAACGTGGTATTTGATTACGTTAGCAACTGTTTTTTCCATTCTAATTCGAGTAAGCTAAGCCCGTCAAGTATCAATTTTCCTAAATCATACATTTTATATTCTTACACAAAGATTATTGCACAAATATTTCAATTCTTTCACTATATATTTCTTACTTAACACAAATACAAGCATGAAGCCATGTAGAACATAAACAAACTAATTATGCATCGAAGTTGCTAGGTATACAAAACAACAATATATCACGGTTACAGTAAAATACACAAATAAATAATAAATCTAAGCTAAGTAAAAGACGCATGGGAGAAAGAATTATATTTTAATAAATTCGATATGTGATACAAAGCTGTATCAAATTAACTTCACGTTAATTAACATTCTAACTCACGTAAAGAAACTTAGCACAACTTTAACTCGTCAAATTGCTTATATGCGATAAGCTGACGCTGACGTTAGATACATGTGTTAGTATCCTTAGTCTTCTTCTTGAAGGGCAAGTACCCAATTCTTCTCGTTAAACTCAACAAATTATTAAAAGTTTTTCTGCTTGTGCTCGATAAATGAAAAAAGAATCGATATCTAGTTAATCAAAATGATGTAACAAAAATAAAAGATAGAAAAATCGATACATTGTTTCTAAGTCATTAAACATTGAATTTAACTTATACGCTAAAATGGTCCCGCATTGAACTGATCGTTAAGACACGGTTCCTAGCAGATCACCGAAGTCAAGCATCATTGGCTGCAGTCAGTGTGCGGGTGGGTGACCACTTGGATCAGTCTGCGTAGGGACCGAGGGTGTGCAGTATTGGTCCTAGTTAAACTGTGCAACCGTAAAGTGCTCGACTTTGCTTGCAGGTCGTTGGGCTACCGAAGCAGGGGTGCCATCCCCTCTGCAGAGGATCAAAATTGTGATGGTCTTCGGATCATCCTCAGGGATGTTTCCCAGACCGTCGCCAATAGCCCATTGTGCAGCTCTAGTGCGACGTAAAGTAACTACAACAATAACTACAACAACAATACGTTAAAATGATGAATAGAGTCTCACTAATACAGCCTCAATTTACAGCGTAACACAACCTTCAAAAATTTATACTTCGCCAAAGATAAAATGAAAATTTTAAAATTTATCTTACAGCACTTGTGAATATGAATCTAGTGCTTTTAATCCATTTGTGCCAGTCTCTTTATAAAATGTCTTTTTTCTTGCTTCAAAAAATAAAAACGTGGTAGCGAAAGTGTTTCATCATTAGGATTTATTTTTCGGAAACAAGATATCTTTATCCACCAAAAATGTCATATAACTTTTATCTTAATTACTTATTAAACCTTAATTTTCGAATATGAAATCCTAATTTATAAACCTTAATTTTCAATTACTTATTAAACCTTAATTTTCGAATATTAAATCCTAATTTATAAACCTTAATTTTCAATTACTTATTAAACCTTAATTTTAGTCAAGTTGGCATCTCTGTTGTTGTGGTAAACAAGTGTTTGTGATTCTCTATAACACACCTGCGAGCTATTACGTTTTTCAGAAAAGCTTTTATATAGTGACGGAAAAATAAAATTTGAATTGACTCCGAAAACAGTCTTTTCATTTATTCTTAGGCTATCATTCATAACATCTAATCAGTAATAAATCTTCAATATGTATGTTTAAATTATTTAAATACAATGATAGTTATAAACATTTAACATCAAATTTTTTAAAAACAAGAATCAAGCTTGAATGTATTATATAAATGTGGCTACCAGATTAATTGTAAAAACAAAAATCTTCCGGAAAATTCGAAAGATTAAGAAGATATATATAAGTGAGAAAAGGGTAAAAATATTTATATTTACTGTTTAATTAGTAAATGATTAACTTGTTTATTTTTAGTGGGATCTTGTTTGTGACCAGGAGTGGCTGGTTTCCATGTCTAAATCTGTTTTTATGGCTGGAAATATTTTGTCGAATTTCGCATTTGGACATATTTCTGATCAGTAAGTATTTTTAAAACTGTACTAACAAATTTTTGTATGAAACTATACTAACAAAAGTTCTTTGGACTCAATTAGTCACCCTAAGCAACCCTGGAATAAAGGTGTCCTCTCTTCTTATGTATCAAACTTCATCTATAATTTTTTTTCTTTTTATAAAATTCACTGACTGTTATGGACATATTGAATTGGCTAAGGCCATGTTTAGCTCAGGTTTACGAATAAAGTGAAGTGAAGAACGATAGTCATTGGGTTATACGACTACTAATGTTCAACTGCATAGTCTTGTAATTTTAAACCCAATTCGGAAGACAAGGGAACTCCTAGATCAAGTATTGGGAGAAATTTGCCTTCGTGGAGGACTTTTTGATGGAACCAACTCGCATTTGCGTTACATTGCGTCATCTCTTTTCTAAACACTACATAAAAATCAATTAAAGAAATTCATGTAACTACCACTAAACTTTAAAATAATTTAATTAAGAATATTTTTGTAATCTGATATTATTTTGTAATGAGATAATTATCCAACTATCGTAAAAGCATGTACTGTTATTTGAAATTAAGTCAATAGTGATTATGCTAGAGATTGATATACAAAGGTTGAGATGATCGGAGAAATTGAACTGCCAGACCAAAGTTTCCAACATTTCAGTTTTGTGAGATTTTTATTCAGTTAAATGTGGACTTTCATTTTAGAAATTTGAAACAGGGTATGGAGATCAAGTATATTGTACTCACGTCGAAATCGAAGCAAATGATCCTATTCAAAATTCTACGAAAAAACTTACAACCAGGATTTCTTTAACAGCTATTACTGTTTTGTTTAACGCGAAATCATAACTGCCAACAATCGGGGGTTCTGGGGCCGCGCACCGAAAATGATTGGGCTAGCAGACAATGAGAAAACGAGCATCTTTGCTCTGTAAAAAATAAATAAAGCAAAAAGAACGTAGTAGACCTGCTCTATAATATCCAAATGAAGTATGGAAAGCTGATGAGTGGTGAAATAATGCGCGGATGAGATGACCAGTGGATAAAATTGTGAGGTAACGCCCACATCGAAGGCTTAATCTTTCATTTTGTGTTTTTGTAGTTGCATATGAATAGGATATTAACGATTTTGGTAGTTATTGTGGAAAAGATCACAGCATTTGTGGGTGCAAGCAGTCTAAGGATGCATACCTGCCAACTTTTAATTCCTTCCATTATCATTTTTCCCAGTGGTATTAAAATGAAATTGAAACTTCAATTTTAAGCAAACAAATACGTTGCATTTGAAAAAACTTAAGTTGACAACCAGGATAGTAACGCATATTAATATCTGTGCTTAATTTTTGTAAGAATAGTGGTGATCAAAATCATTTAAAAATTAAGTTTATAAAAGAAAAAATAGTATAGATTTACAACCACTATAAATATGAAAAAAAAATCTTTCGGAAAATCCGGAAGAGTTGGCAGGTATGAGGACGGATATCTATGGAGAAATTTTATGTTGGAAGAATTGATTAAAATTTGCGGCGGTACTTTTTCAAAGAAATCGGTTTCTAAATTGTAGATAAATTTCAAGTTAAGTGGGGATTTTGAGGTCTCTGTGTATATTGGAGTTTCTAATATACCATCGATTTTGAGCAGTATTTTGTTTTTACAGCTGTTATTATTTTTTTTTTAAAAATGTGGTGGAATTATAGACCAAGCAGACTAGGAATATGTGACTGTAGGATGGTTCATTGTGGTTTACAGTGGTTTTTTGTTTGAGGCACTTTTGGTGTTCATAAATTTGTGTCTGGACTTGTAGAATATCGGCTTGAGGTAATATTTGAGAATTTTCTTCATTTACGGAAGTTTTCTACTTAACTTCTTGGCGGGAGAGTCAGATATGCATTCTCAGGGTGTCGATAATCAGGGTAAAAAAGATGAAACTGGCAGCCAAACTATTTTAATAGCAGTGTATTAGTGGGCGGGGTTGTAATAATAGTTTACTTTAGTCATATATGCATTCTCAGGGTGTCGATAATCAGGGTAAAAAAGATGAAACTGGCAGCCAAACTATTTTAATAGCAGTGTATTTGTGGGCGGGGTAGTAATAATTGTTTACTTTAGTCATATATGCATTCTCAGGGTGTCGATAATCAGGGTAAAAAAGATGAAACTGGCAGCCAAACTATTTTAATAGCAGTGTATTTGTGGGTGGGGTAGTAATAATAGTTTACTTTATTTTATTCACCACAGCTTAGTTCGAATTAAAAATTGTATAGTTACACTTTTAACACACAAGGATTGGATATGTTAGATTTAAGGTAAAGGTAAAAAAAGTCTGTCTAATTAGCTATGCCCAAACTTAAGCTACCGCTTTTTACTTTTCACTATTCTGATTCCTTACGACTGCATTTACATACCTGCCAACTTTTAATCCGTTCCATTATCATTTTCCCCAGTGGTATTAAAATGGAATTAAAATTTCAATTTTAAGCAAACAAATACGTTGCATTTGAAAAAACTTAAGTTGACAACCATGATAGTAACGCATATTTATAAATGTGCTTCATTTTTGTAAGAATAGTGGTGATCAAAATCATTTAAAAATTAAGTTTATAAAAGAAAAAATAGTATATATTTACTACCACTTTAAATATGAAAATAAAATCTTCCGGAAAATCCGGAAGAGTTGGCAGGTATGCATTTATGACTCGCCCGTCTCAAAAAGGTTAAGACACTAGTCTTCTATTTCATGGAGTAAGTCTTCGAGCTTTTGGAGTGCAATATTTCGGTTTCTAGATTTAATTATAATTCCTGTGTTATTGGCATAATATGATGTGTTGCTACTGCGGTCCCGTATATTGATCGGAAAGTCGTAGGAACAGATGATGTAAAGTATTGGTCCCAGGATACTAAAAGTTTGCAAGATGAAGTAAATAGGGATGAATAGTTTATAATTATGTATACAATGGTATTATATATCTTAGGATAAAAGTTCGAAGTGTGGTAAATCCTATATTTTACTTAAGAATTACCAAAGTAGCGTGATTAAATACGAAGTATGTTTTAATATGATTCCATTTCGGACTATTACGAAGCCTTTTCGGTAAAACCTGGGATTTACCAACGAGTTCCGGTAAAAGCTTGAAACGAGGGATTACTTATGATAGAATTTTAGATTCGCAGATATATTGGGCAGTTATTTTGCGACATGCCTGGCTAACTGGATATTTTCTATTTAGCCAAGTACTGTTTTACTAATTATAATCCACCCGTTTACCTAATATTCCATTAGGCTAATTTGAAAACGTGTCAAAAATTTCTCAATTAGCTTGAATTTGCTAAGGCTTATAAAATTAGTTTAGTATGCTTATTGCATTCGTCTAAAAATAAAATCACGCTAATTGAACAATAAATAATTGAATCTTTAATCAGACCAAAGGTAAGTGAGCTCATTGTTGTAAGCATAAAACCTGTCAGGCTGATTAGAAATTTATTTTCCTAAGAGCCTTGTGCATTGAAAAATGACGTCGGTAATTTGCAAAAAAGTTGGATTTTTTCAATTATCCTAAGATTCTAATATATAAGGGGGAATATGAAAAGTAATTAAGCTAACTTCTTATTAAATATTTAAAGAAATGTACTTTTATTTTTCAATTTCAAAAAAAATCGGAGATTAATATTTTGTATCATTAAATTAAGAGCAGGGATAGTCTGGTTGGTAGGACGTTAGACTCCTGTTCGTGAGTGCGTAAGTTCGAATTCTACCAGCCGATGAATCCCAATGTATTAAATGATATCTGGTGCATGCTAAATCTGTCGGGGACACGAAACCCTCCAAGTTGTAATAACAAATCAATACCTCTAGAGGTGTCGAATTGCCGATTGATCTTTCTCCGGTTCAGGTAAAACTACGATTTGTGTATGTATGAATGAATGAAGTATCAATGGGTTTTCCATGTAAAATGGGCTTTGACGTGAGTGACTGAAGTCATATTCTTGGCAATAGATGGCGCCAATGAAAAACAAGAAGCGCACCCGCTGCCCCTTAAAAATTCGTTTGGATTCCCATGGCAGACTTGCTGATATTAGCAAGTAGCATTTGTCAGTACAACAACATCATTAAATTAAATTTTTTTCATTCTAGATTAGGTAGAAGACCTGCTATTACTACATGTGCTTTCATTGCATTTACCTCTGCCATCATTCAGGCATTCTCAACTTCCTTCATCATGTTTATAGTTACTCGGTTTTTCTTGGCTCTCGGCATATCTGGTGTATACAACATTTCATTTGTTTTGTGTAAGTAATATTTAGTCATGATAACCAATTTTTGATTCACATTTAAGTGGTAGCAAATTTTATATAATGCATAAAATGCAGTTCCTTGTTCTATTTCCACTTTCACTTACGATTTTTATAACTGAAGATATAAATATTTGTTAATAAAAAAGATTTGTTCACTATCTATTGAAGTGAAGCTAAATTTATTAAATTGCGAATCAGTTTTGGGTGAAGTGAGAGCATAGAATAAAATTAGGTACATTATTTTACCATATTTTCAAATTATATATGTATGTAATGGTAGAATAAAAAATTATGTATGTAATGGTAGATAATTTTTTTTTAAAAAATTTTAATTTATTCTAATATTAATTCAAATCCATCGCTACCATTAGAAAAAATATTTTTTGAAACATTTTTTCTAATGGTAGAGACGAAAATTCCGTAGTCTTCTAATGGACAAACATTTTAACATTAATTCATTATCAGAGTTTTGTTGCATTTACCAAAAAAAATTTCTTGCCTAATTGGAACAAAAATAAATATACAACATTAATGTATTATGATATTGGATTATTTTGAATAGATATACATATATGTTCTGGAAACTTGAAATGATCGCAGAATACTATATATATATATATATATATCANTATATATATTATTCTGCGATCATTTCAAGTTTCCAGAACATATATGTATATCTGTTCCAGACACATATATGTTTTATTTTCTGTTTTTACATGTTACTTATTTTTACTTCTTGTGATCTATTTTATTTGTTGTTATTTTTATAAAAAAATTTTTTGAGTACTCCTCACACTATTGTATAAATATATTTTGCTTCGGCTTTATTGATACAATATCAGAAAGCACTCTGTTTTGCAGATATAATCGTGTGGGCTGAAGAAAAGATTATATCTTTTTTTTCCCGGTTTTTTAATTAAATATTCATCCTTTTTTTTTAAAAAACTGTTTGTTATTTTTTTACTTATTATTTCCCCCTTTTTTTTTCTTCATATGTCTATTATTTTTCTTTGTTTTATTCTTCATTTTGAACATAACCAACGTACCATGATAGCTTCTAGTTTAATGCGCAAACTCTTTCTACTCGTTCTTGGAGAGCTGAGAGTTGCGAGTTCGATTCTGGTCCTGAAAATCGGGGTTTGCTTGTCCGTAGTCAGATGATAAGCTATTATACTCATCACACTTAGAAAATACAGATTGAATATGATCCGCTAATTATAAGCAAGCATTTATTCTCGATATTTATTACCTGAAATTCTGCAGTCATATCAATCAACTTGAATTTTAAAATATTTCAGTAATAAATTAATAATTCTAGAGTTTCTTTTTGTTTTTTGGTAAAATTAAAAGTACTGTTTCGACTGGGTGGTCTGGCAAAAAGCCTGTTTTCAATAACAGTTAATACAGCAAATTTATTTTTCCGCTAAATTTCTTAATAATTGTAATGAATATTTAACATAATGCTTGTATTTTTATTCTAGTGATGGAAGTAATTGGAGCTGAACATAGATCATTTTACGGCATCGCAATTAACTTTGGTTGGTGTGTTGGATTTGTCAGTTTGCCCGGATTTGCTTTTGTTCTTAAAGATTGGTTTTGGATTCAGATAGCTCTAACAGCTCCCTGCGTCATACTCCTTGGAACTTGGTGGTAATTGATTTTTGTAGTTCAATTTCAAAATGTATCCGTCCTATTTTCTTAAAAAATTATAATAATCGTATTGTAACGACTTATAAGTAAAGATTGAAACGAATTGAACTTGTATAATATCTAAAACAACCTATTATTATTATTTGCAGAAGAAATTATAGCTCTTTTAATTATTAACCAAACTCACTCACATTATTAATACAAATCACTCTGTTAGAATAACAAATCTAAATCTAGCTGCATTCTATAAGCACACTATAAAAAATTTCGAATTAAATTCCGGTAAAAGGCATTGACGCTCGGAGTGCCGGTATTTTTATTGTCGATTCCACTTTTACCGTAAAATTTTATGAAGCAAATAATCTGATATATCATGATTTTTATACATAAGACTATTTACTGTGAATCCACTGCTATTAACCGATCAGAACCGATTAGTACTCTTCAACTAAACCATTCCAACAGTCAACAAACTCAAATATCTTGGATTAGCTCTCAATCGGAAATTTAACTCGAAAGATCATATACAGAATATTACAAACAAAGCATAAGCAGCCTACAAAGCTAACTCTACAACTCCAACACGCAATTGAAACTAAAACGTTTACGTTATACCTGCCTATGATCAGACCAATCTTAACTTATGCATCCCCTGCCTGGGCTAATATATCTCCAACTCTAGTTAACAAGCTTAATATATGCCAAAACAAAATTCTACGTAAATTTACCAAGACTCTATGGTTTATCCGTGAAAAAGAAACTCTTAGAGATTTCAAAATCGATATTATTTATCAATATATTGCCAATTAAATTCTAATGTTTTTGTTAAGGCATTGAAGTGTAAGGCCGGTAACTTCAATGATAAAAAATTCGAAAATCTGAGAGACGTCTCAACAAGAGCCATAGTAGCTTTCTGCTACTGTGACGCCTCCTTTTCGAAGTACCGAAATATGTAAATAACATCTGTTTATCACCTGTATATATATATATATATATATATATATATATCACAAAAACATCACCTTTTCTGATCATATTCATCTACTATTCAACTACATGATGTATTTTGTACATAGATAAGTTCTTCAAATAACTTTTTATTTTCTACTGTAGAATTTTTTTTTTAAATGTCAAATTATTTTTTACAAATTGCTCTTATTTTCATGGGAAAAGGGCTGAAAGCGACCCTAGTTGCCTCATTAATAAATTCAATTCAAGGAAAGTTATGTTGAAGACCAATATTTTCATCATGTATTTGTGTTCAGTTTGTGCTAATTCTTTGTAGTAAGAAAACAGTGTGGTTGCTTTTATTCTTTTCAAGCACTTTGCTTGAGTAACTAAGGAAAAATAAAAACAGCCTGCTCTAAACTATGTTTGGCCTCAATATGTCAGCATGAGGAAACAGCTTGCATATTCATATTTTCAGATACGATTTAAAGTTGAAGTAAAAACCAATATGTAATTTTAGGCGATAAATATAAACAACGCTATAAAAAAAGTAACTTGTTTTCTTATTAATTGATAAATTTAAACAACACTGATAAAAGAAACTTGTTTTCTTATTAATTGATAAATTTAAACAACACTGATGAAAGTAACTTTCTTTCTTATTAAGGGGGTAAATATAAACAACACTGATAAAAGTAATTTACTCTCTTAAAATATTATTCTCTATTAGGCTTTTACCGGAATCACCTCGTTGGCTGATGTTCAAAGGAAGAACAGAGGAAGCTCACAAGACACTGATGAAAGCCGCAAAGAGAAACGGAAAAAATCCTGCCGACATTGACAGTAAAATAAGGAAACTCATCTCAAAAGCTACAGAGGTAAAACTACATTTTTTTTCTACGCCATTTAAAAAATAGTGACTATTTCTACGGTAAGAAGTACTTAGAACCGCGATAGCACAATGGTTAAGGCACTCAGAATTAGGATTTTTATCACTGGTGGTGGCTTAGAAATAACCTAGCTACTGATAGATTGGTTGCATTTTTATCTGAGAAGTAATGGCCGCCGATGAGTAATGATGACCACATTGCAACTATCACGTTGTTCTGGAACCTTAACCGACACGATCCTCTTGGCCCTGAACTGGCTGCGATGGGAAGGATTGCTTAAGGAGTTCTATATTTATTTAATGTAAAAAACTATTTTTAATAGTTTCAAATGTTCAATTTACCGTTTTTATTAGTTAATATTAAAAGCGTGACAAAGATTCAGAAAATTATTCAAAGCAAAGGTCCTCAATCTGCACATAAGTTTAGAAATGGTGAAGTGAAATTTCAATATACACTAACTCTATTTACGACAATTTGGTTTAGGTTTTAAATATGTAAATAAAATTTTAAATGAATACATTGCAAATTTTGAAGATTGTTTGAATTCCAAAGAGTGTTTAAATTTGAGAGTCTTGATTTAAAAATGCAATAGACGCATCAGTTTGAAATATACAAACACTTCAAATGTAACATGCAAACCTTCTGTCAAAAACAAAATGTTCAAACATTGATAATTATGTGTTAAAGAGATATTTTTTTCTGTTAAAAATTAAATACTCGTAGATCGTACTACTTTTTAGTAACATATTCGTTCCAAAATAACAGATATCGGATTTTGCTAAAAAGAAATTTCTTCTTAGAATTCTTCAACAATGGCGGCATGCTTGTCAACTTTTACGTATTTGGAGGGAAATTTTATTTCTATATTTAAAGTGGTAGTAAAATATATATATTCCTTCTATATATTCTTCGCATATATAATCTATACATATGCGCATATATAATCTTTATATATGTAGTACCCACTATTTTTTAAAGCAATTTAACTATATATAATAATATGTAATACATAAGCTATTTCAAAATACAGCGTATGTTTTCTGCTTAAAAATGTAATTTAACTGCCACGGACAAAAATCTTCCCCGAAAGGAATTAAAAGTTGGTAGGTATGTGGTGGTATGTTTCCTAACTGCGAGGAAACAGAGGCGAAATATCTATTACAATATTAGTTTATCTTTAACTGTACCAATCAATAAATGAAACTGATACTATCATTGAAGTTTAATTTTATGATTTTATTTCAGGCAAAAGAGTCGGGGGAGTCAAATGGTAATTTTATTGACCTCTTTAAGAATCCTAGCCTTTGTAAAATGACACTGAATATTTACTTTCTATGGTAAGTTGAATTTCGAACTCACTGGAGATTTTTTTTTGTAGTGTATTCGTGAGAAATATAATCTTTGATCTTTCAAAAGTTAGTTAAAATATAACCCTTTTCTAAGAAAAAACAACAACAGTTAATAACCTTCATATTATGTTTTCTTTAACGCGTTGCAATGTAGAAAGATGTTGAATTTGAGTTGGAATCATTGCCTTAAGAATTCTAAATATATATCATTATATAAATAGAATACATAAGTAAATTTACTTAGTTTTTTATGCTTTTTCAGTGATATTTCCTAATTTTAGAAATATAAATCAGCAATGAATAAATGATAAGAGAGATGAAATGATATGAATTAAACTAAAATTACCACTACAGAGGATGTTCAAAGTTTTTTTTATCTAGAATATTGCAATAGCATAATGTGTTCGAGATGCATCTGGTATGTTTGAGAAAGTAAGCCATTCCAGGAAGCATTGATTTAATGTGTGTTTTCTGGTTCCTAGCCAAACGTCAAAACATCTTCTGTGAAGTATTGGTTGTACATGTGCAATATGTGGGGAGAATAAAATTGAACTTAAAATGATGTAGAATGTTTTTTGTTAATGGTCCTTATACACTCACTCTCAATAGCTGATCTGAATTGTTGTTTTCCGGAAGCTAATCTGAATTAAAGAAGCTGCAACTGGTTGCATTGGTGGAGGAATGCATGCAAAAGTGTTGAATAACAGACATTCGCGGCTTCGTGTCAATATGCAAAACAAGAAGTAGTATATGAAGCTGGCTTTGTGAAGCTTTATGGGAGTTGCATTTAACACGTTCACGCCGGTAAAAGGGAATATACTTGTACGGGAAAAGAGTAAATACTGGTAGAAGAACTATTTCAATATTAGACAATATTCGGGAGGAGTTAATCTATTCTCAACAATAACAATTCACTGTAAGGAAATTTATCACGGCGAAGACGCAATTCAATATAAAAATTGCATCCGTTAAAAACAATTGGTAGTTATAGATTTTTATTATTCCCGGAAAAAAACTGAAATTTATTGTTACCAGTTTTTACTCCGGTGCGCTGCCAAGATGAGACAACCCAGCGTGAACGTGTTGAAGAAGCTGCAACTGGTTGCAATGATAGAAGAATGCAAAACTGTTGAATATCACAGCTTCGTGCCGATATGCAAAACAAGTACTAGTATATGAAGCTGGCTTTGCGAAGCTTGACAGGAATGGCATTTACATACCTGCCAACTCTTCCGGATTTTCCGGAAGATTTTATTTTCATATTTAAAGTGGTAGTAAGTATATACTATTTTTCCTTTTATAAACTTAATTTTTTAGATGATTTTGATCACCACTATTCTTACAAAAATTAAGCACATATATTAATATGCGTTACTATCATGGTTGTTAACTTAAGTTGTCTCAAATACAACGTATTTGTTTGCTTAAAATTGAAGTTTTAATTCCATTTTAATACCACTGAGAAAAATGATAATGGAAGGGATTAAAAGTTCGCAGGTATGCATTTAAGTGTGAATGAAAATTGTTCTGAATATCCTTAATTTTTTTTAAAAGCTAGACTCGTTTCTATGGCTTTCAAAAGAAGATAGGAAGATTCTGAGGACTCGCATTTAGATGAGCGCATTAAAGCACTCTATCACATATGTTACTTTTTTCTTCGGCCTACATCATTAAGCCATTTCAAGACGAAGGAAACATTTCCAAATCAGTCAAGCATTTGTCGAAAGATATATGACCGTTTGTGGTACTAAGATGTAGGATGAAGTCCTAGACACCATTATCAAATTGTACGCAGCAGCTATTCGCCTGGCTCTCATCCCAATGAAAGACAACGTCATCTTCATAAAGCTGCCATCGTTAACGACTATCTTGAGTGAAGGATTGCGTGTTTTATACGATCGGCTATGTTTGGAGTCGTTCATCTTTAATCCAATTGAAAATCTTTTAGATGCTCTCGGCCGAGCTTTGTGTGCACGTTTCCCACTTTCAACCACTCTCACATATTTGAAAATGACACATGACTCTCACATGAGGAATGATATCTGGACTCAGAAGTGATTGACCACCACGTAACAAACATGAAAAAACGTGTACCGTGTATGTAAATTAGAGTTCCAATTTACCCTATTACTGAGATTTTTGTTGTTTATTTTAATTTTAAATATCCTTTTAATATGGAGGCTAGTAAGATGTCAACGTAGAATTTATGATAAAAATTCAGTGCTGTTTTCCGCCCTGTATGTAATTCTTTGTTTTGTTTCAAGAATAAACATACTTACTACTACTTTCCTGAAGCGTTTCTTGTCAATTAAAGTAGTACATTTTTTTCTTCAAATTTCTGCTCTGTGCTTAACTTTTCAAAGTGAATCCATATTACGTATAATTTTAAACCTCCTTTTGCCACCCCAGAAAGTGTTTGAGTTTTATTCGTTCTTTTTCTATGCCTGCTTTACACTTTGTACAGTGCAATTAATGTTTTTTTTCTTCCAAACAGATAAAATGCCCTACAAAAAATTTCTTTACTTTCAGGTTCGTAAATTCCATAATTTATTACGGATTGTCGTATAACACCAACGAATTGGCTGGCAATCCTTTCGTCAATTTTGCTGTATCTGGTGCAGTGGAATTCCCAGCCTATTTTTGCACAATGTTTGTAATTACTTCGCTCGGAAGAAGAAACCCAGTAGCTGGTGCTATGATAATCGGAGGAATTGCCTGTCTTCTTATGTACCCTCTGCCTACAGGTAAATCATGACTAATCAAGAAAAGATAATGGAATCAATCTTTTTAAAATGCTCATATTGCATCAGATTTATTAAAATCTTTATTTTCTCCTTTAATATCTATCTCAATTCGTGGATATTATGTTGAAAGGTGTTTACTCAATAGTTTTCAAGCTCGAGTTGGTCAATTAAAAGCTGGAGGGACCGTTCGAAATTATATTTTAATGCAATTTTATTTTATGAATATGAATGAAATTCGTATTCACATCAGGCATTAAGTTGCTTCAGGTATAGATTCATCTTTTCAAAATAATTTTAGGCAACTATATTTATTTATTTCGTCAAGGGGGGGGGGCAAAAGAATGGAATCACACACGTTTCCTGAGTAGGTCAAGTTAGAGCTTATCAAGTTATAAATTGATAACCTAACCTACTATAAGTTATACTATAGTACAATTTATCAAGTTGGCATCATTTTATTTGGCTAGACTGCCTAGAGTCTTCTTCTGAAATCTGCTCCACTGCTTTCTACTTTTGACAATTGTGTGCCAGTTACTGTGCTGGTATGCAAGGAAGTCAGTTTTCGCCAAATTCATCCGCCAAATTTCAATCTTTGTATACTCTTTCTTTTGATTGTAAGCGGTTTATGAAAAAGAATTTTTTTAATGTGGTATCATCATCCATTCTAATTACGTGAGCCGTCCAGTTCATCTTGTTTATTTTGGGGAACTTTACAATAAGGAACGCTCTATAGTCTTTGCAATATCTGTCCTTTTATCAGTTTTATAAATTTAAAGTAAAAAAGTTCTAAGCTCAACAGTATTGCAGAATCCGACAGAATACACCAATACGTGTAGAGTAAGTTTTGTTCTCTAATTAAAAAACAATATAAGATATTTTCTTCTAACTTTTTTTCACTAATTAAAATTTACTTTACTTAAATTCAACTTAAAGTTTCTGATGTACAATTATTAATATTTCAAAATGAAAAGACGATTTGAACTTATATCCACCTCATACTTACGAAAAAAAATATTTTTCTCTTTTCAGAACCTACGTGGTTAATTACTGTTGTCTCTATGGTTGGAAAATTTTGTATTACGTGTTCTTTTGCTACAATATACGTCTACACTTCAGAACTTTTTCCAACTGTTGTTAGGAATCTCGGACTGGGAACAGCCTCCATGTTTTCCAGGTTTGGATCCCTCATCGCTCCTTTCGCACGCGAACTTGTAAGTGAAAATAATAATTTTTTTGCAACAAGTATTCCTTTTTATTATGAAGTAAAAAATATAATGTTTTATTACAGTACTCCTTTTATTAAGGAGTATACTTTTATGTAACAAATACTCCTTTTATAACGAAGTAAGGAGTATAATTTTTTATAACAAGTGTACATTTTATAATGAAGTAAAAAGTGCAACTTAGTATAATAAGTGCTCCTTTTATTACGAAATAAATAGTATAATAGTAAGCAATATGATAGTATAGTAGTAAAATTTTAATAAGTATTATTTTTAATAAGTATTACTTTTATTATAAAGTAAAAAAAAGTTGATATAAAAAATCTTCCTATTAATACGAAGAAAATGGTTAATTTTTTATGAGAGTACCTTTTATTACGAAGTAAAAATCGTGTTTTTTGTAAAAAGTATTTTTTTAACTGTAATTAAAAGTTTTATCCTGATATTTAGGTGGTATCAGACTTTAAAAATATTTTTCTTTATTTTAATAAATAAATTGAAAAAATGTGTGAAGCTACTGCAATTAACAAACTCAAATGCATCATATCACTCAATAAAATTGATTATAAAACAGAGTATGAGACAAACAGAGATGCCAACTGCTCCGGACACGCCAAAATAATTAAGCAAAACGGTAAATAACTACAAAGTAAATTTTGCAAATATTTGACTATTTTTGCTTGCTTTTTAAAAGGTATAGCACGACATAAGTATCTTTCTTCTTTTCTTTATTTAAACAAAACTGGGTACCTAGGCCACTCAGCGGCCCCTACCCCATTCATCATGAAAATTATATACAGTGAATAAAACATTTTGAATTATGTAACAATGTGGTAACAATATAATGAAGTAACCATGATTAGAAGTATGTACAAACTTGATCGGAGATTTACATTAATTGCCATTGAAAAATGAATACAGCCATGATTAGATGGACTACATAAATTTTATAATGTGGTGAATTATATAAGCCTACGAATTATTTAGAAATAGTGGTGGATAAAAATCTATTAAATTGAATTTATTAAACGAAGAATCACAATTGATAAACTACCACTTTAAAATGCATATTTGCTGTCCGGAGCAAGTTGGCATATCTGGACAGAGGCATTAGTTGAAAGTTTTGGTTAGAATAAAGACAAAACAATGGAAGAGAGATACTTGAAATATTGTCTACAAATAAACGCATCCTCCTTATAAAGGCTACTGTTATCCAGGATTGCTTCAGCGAATATTTTTACCAAATTTATATATTTTCCCAACCCTTTTGCCCACTTATGAATCACATTAATAGAGCCGCGAAGGCACTGAGGATAGAGAGTTCACCTTCCAATGAGGTGAACCGGGTTCAAATCCCAGTGATAGCTGGCCGAAACGAATTCCACATCCTGCTTGCACCGACCACAGTGCTGACGTGAAATAACCTCAGTGGTAGACGGATAGTGAGTTAGAGTCCCCTTGTAGCCAGACAAACCTTGGGAGGTTCTCGTGATCTTCCTCTCCATGTAACGCAAATACGCGTTAGTTCCTTTAAAAAGTCTTCCACGAAGGCGAGTTTCTCCTAATACTTGATCCAGGAGTTTCTTTGTCTTCTGGATTGGGTTCAAAGTAACAAAGCTACGGAGTTGAACATTAGTAGTCGTAAACCCAAAAATTGGGTCGGTTGCTCATCGACGGTTATAAAATAAAATAAAATCACATTAATTGGATATTAATAGTGGTGGCTCAGAGGATTGAGCGTTCGCCTCCTAATGTGGCGACCCAGGTTCAAATTCCAGCTGTGGACGGTTGGGATAAATTATTCTCTCAGCTCGCACCGATCACAGTGCTGACGTGAAATATTCTCAATAGTAAACGGATCATGGGTAGGATCTCTTTGCCGTCTGGACAACTGAGGGAGGTTTTCGCGGTTTTCCTCTCCTTTTAATTCAAATGTGGGTTAGTTCCATCAAAAAGTCATCCACGAAGGCTAGTTAGTGCCAATATTTGATCCCTTGTCTTCAGCGTTGTGTTCTAAATTACAAGAAAGCTGATAGTCGCCAGCTTAATATTGGATCGGATAATCAACGCCAGATATAAAATAAAATAAAATGTATGAAATAAACTAAAAATATATGTAAAATAAAATAAAATCACATTAATAGAGCCTATCTGCGTTGCTGTGAAGCACTTACTTGTGACTAAAGGTCATCCAATATTGTCATGCCAGAGGCAACAATTTTGATTACATCTATTATGGAAAATTAAGAAAAAAAAACTGATTATTTCTTGATTTACACTTTCAATAATCAATTTTAGAATTCTTACCTTCGAAACGGAACAATTTGCAACAAATACCTTTGTTATGCATCCTTTTAATCCTTTCGGGATGGGCGAGTCATAAATGAATTCGTAAGGAATCAGTATCATGATGGTAAAAAATAAAAAGCGGTAGCTTAAGTTTGGGTATAGCTAATTTGACAGATTTATTTTTGGTTTTACATTAAATCTAACACATCCAATCCATCTGTGATAAAAGTGTAACTATACGATTTTTAATTCGAACTAAGTAGTGGGTGAATTAAATTACTATTATTTCCCCGCCCACAAATAAACTGCTATAAAAATAGTTTTCCTTCCAGTTTTATATTTTTCCCCTGATTATCGCCACCCTGAGAATGCATATATGACTCGTCAGTCTGAAGGAGGTTAATTACGTAGTTGATATACTCGTATCGTAACTTATGTTTAACCTTTTGGTTCCTTTACTTACTTTATTTAAAAACAACTGGGCACCTGGGCCGCTGCGCGGCCCCTATCCCATTCATCATGAAATTACAACAATGAGGTAAAAACATTTTGAATATAAGCAGTCGTTGTGGTAGCTTTACAATAATATTACCATGATTAGAGAAAATACAAACTTGAACAGAGATATTCACAGTAATTGCCATGAAAATATGTACAGAAAATATAACGTTGATTTGAAAAAATTACAACTTGAACAAAGATTTTTACATTAATTGCCATAAATATGTACAGAAAATTGAATATGAGCATTAATAAATGATGATTATGTATATACAAAAGTCGTGATTCAAGAACGTGATGATTTAACATAAATTTTCGACAAGCCTTAGTGGCGCCATCTAGTATGCTCAACTTTAATTTGAAAGGGCAGTATGCAGTATTTATTTATAATCTGTATGGAAAATTAGAGTTCTGAATAATAATAAGAGTTCAAATAAAAGTTTAAATCAGGTAAAAAAAAAAGATGTTACTGTGCAAGAGTGGCTTCCCCCATAATCCTTTGAAACAGTTGAAGCACTTCTTGATTTTTTAAAAGTTCTTGCAATTCTTTAATTATTGTAACCAGCCTTTGAGCAAGTCCTGTTATTGTTGGTGGTATGGCACGTGTTCCCCTCCTGCGGGGACGGGCTCTGCACCCCGTGTAGTTGGCTGTATGAGAGTCTCCGCAGTTGCTGCACTTAGGTTGTGTATTTTCATCTTTTTGGCACTCGTATGATCGGTGTTTGGCGGCGCACTTTACACATCTTGATGGTGAATTACATGATCTTTGACTGTCGCCAAATTCTTGGCAGTTGTAACACTGGATTGGATTTTGCCCGCCTCGGAACCTTTCAATACTGACCGGGATACTTTGTATATTGGTGATAGAGAAAATTTGTCGATTAACATCTGTTTCTGTGAGAATTGTAAGAAAAAGTGAGAGGAGCCTGTAGGTCCCGCACACTTTTCTCTTAAACTGAATTATCTTTTGCGTTATGATGTCTGACTTCGCCAGTTGCGGGGAGATATGATCAGGACAGAATCCAACTGGAAGACCACGAATAAGAGCTTTTATATGCTTAATTGGTTGAACTTTTGCTGGAGTTGTGGGAGGATCTACAGTTGAACTGGAATCCTCCTTGGGTGGGGCTACGTCAGTATCAGATATAGATTCAGATGGTTGTAAGGAGGTGGCGGTATCTATCGGTGAAAAAAGTTTACTATTCGTGGTCATGATTAGATTTGCTTCAGCTTTTTTGACATTATTTTTCTTTTTCTTCTTCTTTTTTTTCTTCTTCTTTCATGTTCTGCAATATTTTTGGTTGAGCTTTCTGAATCTGTGGTTGACTCATTCCCCGTCTGTTTCAAAAGTTGGCCTCCTTCATAAGTTTTCATATCAATGACATCAATTGGTGTTGTCGGTATTTCGGGCCTATTTGGCACAGGCATGAGAAACTGCTCCAATTGATTTAGTTTCTCAAGTAGTTCTTTATTTTTCCTTTCATCTTCTTTAATTCTTCTTTCCATGTCTGCTAACTCTTTAGCCATTTTGGTTTCAAAGTCCGAGCATTCCTGATCCGACGTTGAGCCACGTGCAGGTCTTTCAGTCAGCCGCTTTCCACCACGTCCGTGGTGGTGATACGTAGCCATTGTTGCGTGATTGCAAATATTAATTTCAGCAGTGATGTTAACGTAAATTGAAAGCTACTATATCGGGCAGAATCGTTTAACTTAACTTGCATCTACTTATACTCTTAAGTTAACTCAGAATTAGGAAACATACATGATTGCAAGAGTATGAAATAGGTATTACTCACTCAAAAGACACCAATGAAAATCCGAAAGTTCTACGACCTCCTAAAAGCATAAATTGTTCTTCCACATCACATCAGAGCATCAGAAGCCGCTAAAAGTGTCTCACGGCGTTGATTGACGATCAACCTTTTGGTTCCTATTTTAAATTCCGAACAAAGTGGAAACAATCAAATTAAAAACCTGGTAGTAAGTTTTTGATGAAAAGTGTTATTTTTTTATTGTTAAATAGTTACCATTATAACCCGACACCTTCACAAAATGCTTTGTCATTTATAAGAAGTGGTAGTTAGTTATCAATGCAGTATCTCTTTCTGCAAAATATTTTATTCACCATTTTTTATTTATTGGTAAAAAATGCACGACGAGTCTCACTCGTCAAATGTACCCAAAGGGTTAATTCTTGTCTTGAAATTTGAGCTGGGCACCTGGGTCGTGCAGCGGCCCTTATCCCATCCATCATGTTTCTGTTATATTTGCGGTAGAACTTTAAAGTTAGCAGTTCATGTGGTAGCTGTTATTGGGATTCAAACACCTTGCTTGAGTAAATAATAATAATGAAAATTATAAGAACTATACTTACCTTGAACTATGGGTGGCTTTGAATGTTGCTAAGAGTTAATACTTAGTGAATTTAATTCATTAATAGTAGTATAATTTACTTGTACATAACTGAATCGGAAGTTATTTATGATCCTAACTTCTTGTAAAAATATACTGATATATGAAGGGACAATAATATCGAACAAAGTGTAGCAATTTTTAATTTTGATCAGGGAGAATGTTAATTATGTGAAAATTTTTTATAAAAATAATTCCTATAAAAGGAAATTTTTTTTACCACTTTTCAATTTAAATGTTAGTTATCATTATTAATAAAATTTATTCAATTACTTATTATAAATTCGTAAAAGATTCAAATTAAATAATTGCCAACGTAATTTGGTTTGGCGTTATGTGAAATAAAAATGGAATGAGGAATTTAGTATTTCTGAAATGGTAATAGTACAGAGATGCCAACTTGCTCCGGACAGCAAATAAATATTTTTAAGTGGTAGTTTATAAATTGTGATTCTTGGTTTAATAAATTCAATTTAGCAGATTTTAATCTACCACTATATCCAAAAAATTCGTAGGCTTATATAATTCACCACTTCATGGTTTGAAGTCATGCTAGACCTTTTAAAAAGCAATAAAAAATTGTCAAATAATTGCAAAATTTAGTGTGCAGTAATTTACCGTTTTTTCTATAATTTTGGCGTGTCCGGAGCAGTTGGCATCTCTGATAGTACGCCAGGTCAGAAAATGTTAAATACTGTTATAAGAACAATTTATTTTTGCCTTATTTGGGGGTAATGAATTTACTTTTATTAGCATCTACTTTTTTTATTGCAGCAACATAAATAATCTGAAATTTCTTTCAAGTAAATATATATTTGACTTGCTAATAAGTAATGGTAATTAAGACTAATTTATTTCTTCTGAATATGAGGGAAAAAATTAAATATTTTTACGATCGTATTTTGCATTTTTGAGATAAGAAGCTCCCCTGGAATACAAATTTTATTCAGTGAAGCCAATGTGATCCATTTTGAAAAAAATTTCTAGTGGTAACGAAATTTAAGTTATTTTTCGTTTGATATTTTTCACTTCATGTAATTTTTCCACCACTGCATATCAAATATTCAAGGTAGTATATCAAACGCAACTTTATTTAAGGGCGTAATTATCCTTATTCTACAAATTATTTAAACTTTTACAAGAAGTTGGGCAGTTTGCCCCTCTGCTTATTGTTCGTTTCTTTAACACGTTCAATGCCATGGGGGTCACCGGTGACCGGCAATGAGTTTGTTCGTAGCTCCACGGGGGTCACCGGTGACCGGCGAAGCCAAGATTATTAGAAACACATAATTAGAGTAAATTTGTAATTTTTTTAATATTATTATCGTTACTAAAATGGTTTGAAGAAAGAAATGCAATATAGAACATACAAAAATAGTTTTATTTACATACACAGAGACGTCAACTTGCTCCGGACAGCGAATAAATATTTTCAAGTGGTAGTTTATTAATTGTGAGTCTTAGTTTAATAAGTTCAATTTAGTAGATTGTTATCCACCACTATTTCTATACAATTCGTAGGCTTATATAATTCACCACTTTCACCCAGGAATAAATTAGTGTGGCTACCATAATGTTGCTAAACTTTAAATTTCATGATTAATGGGATAGGGGCAGCTGTGCGGCCCAGTTTTATTAAATAAAGCAAGCAAGCTTTTAATAAATTAGCAAAATCTGTCTAATATTTGCAAATTTAGTATGTAGTTATTTACCGTTGGACCAAGCAATGTAAAATTAGGGTGGCATTCAACGTGTTAATTCTAATGAATTTGGATTCTGTCTTCCAGAAACAGGGAAAAAAAATCAGTTATTGTTAGCTAAATATTCTCATGGCTACTTAAAATTGTTTTAAACTTAGCTTTCAGTTGAACATAATAAAATCAATTCTAAAGTTTTTTTTTTTTTTTTTTTTTTTTTTTTTTTTTTTTGCTCTTGGGTGATACCCTTAAATTTAAAATATTTTTAGAATGAACGAACAATCTTTCCTAAATCATGTTACCGCTTAAATTTTTTTCTACATTTTAGTAGCTTGACGACGTGAAAGAAGTTTGAATCAATAATATAAAAAAAAATTCCTGAAAATCACGAGAAGTTGACAGTTACAAAAATATATTGTTTGGAAAAAACTACATTCAGAAACATATATTTTTTTTTCTGTTGATTTCGCTGCTTTCAAACCTGACCTCGGTTTCTATCAACAAGGTTCAGTTTTTAACACGTTCACGCCGGGGTGATCCACCGGTGGGTCACGCTAGATCATTGTTTCTCAACGGGGGCGATACCGCCCCCCCGGGGGGCCGTTGGAGTATGCTGAGGGGCGGTGAGCTTGTTTTGGGCAGTAGGGGGGCGGTGAACTTGTTTTGGGCGTTAGGGGGCGCTGACCATGTTTTGTCATTCAAATNTCATCTTGGCAGCGAACCGGAGTAAAAACTGGTAACAATAAATTTTATTTTTTAGTTTTTTTCCTGGAATAATAAAAATCCATAACTACCAATTGTTTTTAACGGATGCAATTTTTATATTGAATTGCTTCGTCGCCTTGATAAATTTCCTTACAGTGAATTGCTATTGTTGGGAATAGATTAACTCCTCCCGAATATTATCTAATATTGAAATAAATCTTCTACCAGTATTTTCTCTTTTCCCGTACCAGTATTTTCACTTTTCCCGGCGTGAACGTGTTAAGCAATTTAATAATAAATTGGGGTTTTGCCATGGTTTTTAAAAATCCACTCGAGTGAATACGAAGTGTCACCACTTATCTTATCAGTAGGGAGTGGTAGAAAGAAGACCGTTATACATTTTAGTTTATGATAGGATACATAAGGATTATATGTTGTTTTTTTTGTCTCAAGTGTAATTTTCAAAGGAGGAGACAAGTGTATAATTATGTATTTACAAATACGTTTTTTTTTAAAATAAATTTGTACATTCCGAGAAAACAATAAACTAAACAAAAATATAATTTTTAATTAGTACTGGCATAAATGCAACGAAGTCCCCCCTCCCAATGTGATCATTATTTCGTATTATTTTGTTTTGACGATGATTATTTTCGTATTAAGGGTTTCGTATTCGTATTATTTTGTTTTGATAAAGCATATTCAGCATATCAGCAATTTTGGAGATGCTAATTTGATCCGCTTTGTGGAAATTCTTTTTCCAGTGGTAGCAAAATTTATATTTTAGTATATGGTTATTGCTTAGAAAATGCAAACCCATTTTGGAAAGTCCTGGATACGAATTATTAAATCGCATAACAACTATATCTGGTAGAGAGAAACCGAATGCAGATTTGAAATCAGCAATACGAAAATATTTATGATTCGTTCAAAATCTAGAAAAGTTTTTAACTAGGTTGCAAAATTGAGAAAAATGTGTACCATTAAAGCTATTCTTTGTGGAAATTCCTTTTCCAGTGGTAGCAAAATTTGTATTTTAGTATATGGTTATTGCTTAGAAAATGCAAACTCAATTTGGAAAATCGTGAATACGAATTATTAAATCGTATAACAACTGTATCTTGTAGAGAAAAACCGAATGCAGATTTGAAATCAGCGATACGAAAATATTTATGATCCATTCAAAACCTCGAAATTTTTTTTAACTGGGTTGCAAAATTGAGAAAAATGTGTACCATTTAAGCTATTCTAAGGATCCAAAAATATTTCAAACTTAAAGTAATCAAACCGATACAAAATAAATAAATAAAAATTAGAAATTACTTAATATAATGTTCAAACAATTTAAGGAGTAGAAAGATATTAACTGTGCATCTGTCACTCAATTCATACCCTTTTTGAATCCGACGAGAAATAGAAAAACATTCTTAAAAGGTCACTTTTAGACGATTTTCTTAAGTTAGAGTCAATTATCATGAACCGTTAAAAAAGCTCAGAAAGGTAATCAAATGAAAGTATCATAATAAACATTATAGATGAGTCATCCTGTAGCACTGCAGCCTTTTATCGTACAAAATCAATTCAACGAAGGAATTTTTTCAGAAATTCTATCAGAATAACAAAACACCTTCAATATAGTCTAGTCCTCACGTAAATTCCACATCTTCGATGAGCTCAAACAAAATATATGTGTGGACATCGGTTTTAAAGCAACTGCGAAGTCAAAGAGTGGGAGGGAAACTGGTACAAGCAGCTGTCAATCATTTTATGAGTATGGCTTTAGGCCAATAGCTACTGTCTACTGAGTGGACCGTAGTAAAGTGTTTACCAATGTAGAAAATCTCAAACAAATTTCACTCTAATAGTTCCGTTAAACAACAAATCTTTTTAAAAACTAATTCATGTTCCAAAATTATGGATTAGCTTGAGAAGTTGCATTTTATAAATTAGTTAGGTTTAAAATCATCGAATTTGGAATAAAAGTCACGAAAACTTTCGCGACCGATCGACAGTTTGGTCAAAATAAGATAATTGACTAAATTGATTGCAATACTTTTTAGTTTCATTGATTAAAATTGTGTGAAATAGTTTGTTATTTATTCACTTACCTTTCGCATGTTTTGAAATGTTGTTCAGTTAATGAGATATTTTTTAAAATTTTTGATATAAATGTGTCTGAATCATTACTTCAAAGTGAATTTTTCCTTAATATTTGTATTTTGATATTTAGGGAAATGCAACCCACCCAGTTGTGCCCCAAATTATATTTGGAGTTCTTGCCTTCATAGCAGGGCTTTTAGTTCTTTTATTGCCCGAGACAAACAACTGTGCAGTGCCAGATACTGTTGCTGAAGCAGCTGCAAGGTACAGTATCATTTATATTTTTACTCAAATGTTCCTTATTAATCCACTAATGAAATAAAAGTGTAAAACGATAGAAATTGAAAAAGGCACGAAGTCGAGCTTTTTACAGTAGAACAGTTTAAGTAGTTGCAGGCTGCTTAAAGTGGTCACCCACCCGCTGACTGATCGCAGCCAGTGATGTTTGACTTGGGTGTTCTACTGGGAACTGTGTCTTTACGATCAGTCCACTGCGGGACCACAGTGTTTTAACTACTGTGCAATCACGCCACACGAACATTTATTTATTTACTATTAAAAAAATTACACCTCACTATTATAATTAAAAAGAATGTTAGTTGTAGAACCATTTATAAGTAAAGATTTAATGACGTAAAAAAAAAACCAATTGTAATATATTCCAATTAAAGATTACAAATTTTAAATTATTCAAAACAATTATTAAATTTATTTTCAGGAGAAAGAAACCTAAAACAGCCAAGATTCAAAACGGCAATCACGTCACAGTTACACTTTCAACAGAAGAAGATGTAAGTGACATACAAGAAGACGGCCCCACAATTATCCAACCATCTCCAAAGTTACAAGAGAATGGAAAGAAACTAGATGTGTTACCGGAGGAGGAAGGACATGATGCGGAACCTTCAGCTGTCCCGGACATTACAGATAATGAGGATGTGCCAAGTTCCGCAGCTGTCACAGAAAGCAATGTCGATGAGAATGTTGTTGCTGTCGACGATACAAATGTTTCTGAAAACGAGAATGAGAAAACAAATCTGTGACGAACTATTTCTTTAGCCATTTTGCATCAGATATTATTGAAAAGAGCTGTGATTTTCGATCTTACTGTAAAAGAAGAAATTGTTGAATTTTGTAAATATTTTTGGATGGTTCCAGCCATTGTTCTTGTTTTATTTGTTTTGTGAATCATAATGGGAAATGTGAGTCAGAAGCTGGCAAGTTTCTATTTTAGGAATTTCTGTACTGGATTTTCCGAACGGAATTAATTTAATCGCTTTTATTGTCACTGCGGAATACTAGCACAGTTTTGTATGGTGTAATGTTTTTGATTATGGAAAATACTTTTTAAACTTTATAAAGTTAAACAGCTGTTTTAGTTTTAAAGTTTGTATGAAACGTTTTGTATCTATTGATTTCAAGCTCAACGAACATTGTGGATAAACCAAGAAACCATGATATTAACTGTCATAAGCCATGCACATTCAATTTTTTCTCTATTTATGTACTTACAACTCGAGTACTATGTGTAAATAAGCAGTATCGATGAGATTAACTATAGTAATACTTTTTAAGCATTCAATTTTCGTTTGTTTTCGATGCATATAGAAATTTATTCGTAATTGATTTTTAATGTAGCAATTAATTTTTTAAAATTTAATATACATATTAAGAATACTCATTTCATTATTTGATAATTATCATCTCATTTTTATTCACTTATAAGCTAAAGAAATATGCAACGCCTTAAATTATGAATTATTTTTTTAAATCTCAAATCGTATGAATTTATGAGGCGATGGTTACAAAAGCTTTTCTTTTTATTTGTTTGAAAGTAAATATGTAAGTTATCTACAATTCTAGAAAACTGAAAAGATGTTAGTTGAATTAAAACAAAAGCTTAAGTAATAACTTGAGGAAGTAATTTTATTACTTCAACTGTTAAAATCGGAAAAATTACACTTATGTATGTATGGACGTTATCACCAATCTTATTCAAGACTAAGATTTGAAAGGACTTAAACATAGGATTTATCATTCTAATTAACATTGAATTGATAATACTAATTGATATCATAATTGATATTGATAATGCTATTTGATATTGAAACATGGAATGTACTGTCTATGATATAAATTCTACAATTATAGCGGAATTTGTATATTTTTAGGAATTATAGCAAAGGCCAGTGGTAGCAAATGTAATGTTTTAAATTAGATCAAAAAGAAATATTCCATAATCACTAACAGACATATTAAGGGTCAGAGAATCAAATAGTGATGTTGAGTTCAGAAAAAAGTTTTATGATAATACTTTGTTCTAAAAACTTCTGTTTTGGTTCTCTACTGAAAAAGATAATTTTCAAATGTTTGAGGGTAAGGTCATTTCCTAATGTACTGTCTGATAAAAATTTTCAATCGGAATTTGCTGTTCGGGAAAAATCATTTTGACCATAAATAAAATAAAACTGACAATCATAAGATTATGTGTTAATATTTTAGCAAAATGTAAACTTGCTAAATGCCCACAATTGTTATTCAGCTATCACTTTCTTACCACTTGGAAAAATAATCCTCAAAAAATTGTAGGTAAGTAATTGTAGGTAGGTAATTGTGATTGTAGGAAAACCTAATAATTAAATCCAAGAAGTATATGGTTGTTCAAGAAATTCGCAGATCGTCGAGGTTTTATATAGAAATTATCTGGCAATTTTTTCACTAATTATGGTGAAATTGTATCATACGATAGTACATTGAAATATGATATATCTATATTGGTGGTGATTAATCGATTTTAAATTAATGAGGAAAGAAACTATATTGATAATTAAATGCATATTAATATTATAACGATGAATGAAAATTATGTATATATTTTCATGAAATTATGCTGATATTGTTTAGAAACTATAGAAATGTTTTATTATTGCCAGTCTTTAACAAATTTGCTGTTAAATATAACACAGTATATTTTTCATTGTCCAGATTTTTATACATATTTTTATTATGGATAAAGTATTTTCGCATTAAAAATATTTTTATTGTCATATTTTATAAAAATGTATGCTTTCATAATTTTGTATATGAAATATCTAATAAATAATTACAAATTTGAGGTTATTTTGTATTCCTAAACCTTTGCACTTCTAATACTTTCAAATATTGTTTGATTAACACGTTCACGCTGGGGTGACCCACCGGTGGGTCACGCTAGATTGTCTCATCTTCGCAGCTCACCGGAGTAAAAACTGGTAACAATAAATTTCATTTTTTAGTTTTTATCCGGGAATAATTAAAATCCATAACTACCAATTGTTTTTAACGGATGCAATTTTTATATTGAATTGCTTCTTCGCCGTGATAAATTTCCTTACAGTGAATTGTTATTGTTGAGAATAGATTAACTCTTCCCGAATATTATCTAATATTGAAATAGTTCTTCTACCAGTATTTTTTCTTTTCCCGGCGTGAACGTGTTAAATACTCAATCATTTAATACGCACAATACAGTATTTTTTAAATTATTGTGGTAACTAATTATTAAGTTATAAATTTTTTTATTTTTGAAGTGGTAATTGTTGACGGCACCTCAGAATTTACTTCGGAGAACAAAAGATTAAATTTAACATTCATAACTTTGTTTTATTTTCCAAGTATTTAAAGGATTTAAAACAATTTTTAAAAAACAGGAAAATCGCCAATATCTACTTTTAGTTAATGTTTGTTTTTAATCTTAAAACGTCACCGATTTTACCCTTTTCTGCAAAACTGAAGAATATTTGAAATAGTAATTGATTAATATATTTAAAAAAGTGCTTTCAAATGGTCTGTTATATATATTTCTTTTTCTCCGTACGTCATAGAAAACCAATGTTCTTTACAATAATAGAATGAATATCTATAAATTTAAAAGTCATCACATCAAATTTACCAGTTTAACATGAAGATTTTGCACAGAACTTAATTGTTATTTATCAAATTAATAGCAAATTTACTATGTTATTAATTAAATATTGGTAGGGTTAATTTGTAATTTCAATAAATAATCGATTACAGCCTTTTTCATTTTATAACCCAGTTGAATTTAAATAATTTAGAATTAAAATTGTTATTTTTATAAATATTTCAGCTCCAAGGAATACTTTTCTATGCCAAACTTGTCCTTTTTATCCTATAATCTTGCTATTATATAAATCATAATCAAAATATGATAATCATCAAAATAATGATAATCATCATGATATGCCTTGTTGATTTATATGATAATCATCAAAATAATTATCATATAAATCAACAAGGCATATTTTTTCATTTATAATTATGCTTGAATTTATAAATAAAATTTCATTTTTATTTGCTTAATCTGGGTAAAAATAAACAATTAGAATTTTTTTAATTTTATAATTTAACCTGTTGAATTTAATCCCTTGAATCATTAATTTAACCTGGTCACTGGTGACCATCGAAGCCAAGACTATTAGAAACACATAATTCGAGTAAATTTTTAATTTTTTCATATTATTATAGTTGCTAAAATGGTTTGAAGAAATTAATGCAATATAGAATACACAAAAATAGTTTTATTTATAGACACAGAAATGCCAACTTGCTCCGGACAGCGAATAAATATTTTCAAGTGGTAGTTTATTAATTGTGATTCTTGGTTTAATAAATTCAATTTAGTAGATTTTTATCCACCACTATTTCCAAACAATTCGTTGGCTTATATAATCAATACTTTTGTAAAGCGAAAGAACGAAAGCCATTCGTCTCAGTTGCCCAAGGGCCAGTACTTTGACCAAATCTATAGCCCAGTCCAGTCTGGTAAGTCATTCTAAACCTTTTAAAAAAACTAGCAAAATCTGTCTAATATTTGCAAATTTAGTTGTAGGTATTTATCGTGTGGCCAGACGGGCAAGCCATCTAAGATTAGTGTGGAATTTAACGCGCTAAAGTAATGTCTCGTCTGTGAGATTAATGTGCTAAAAAATATTTTGTGCTCTAAATATAAAATCAGAGAGAAAATTGAAAGCGCGCTTTGATTAGCCTTAACTAGAGGTCCGAAAAATCTACTCCCATATATAGTTTGCCAGCAAAAAGCAAATTAAATCTGAAAACGAAAGTACAGTAGTCAGAAGCTGAGAAATATCTGTATTGGGATCTGGAAAAAATTTCTTTCCACTTCTGGCCTATGTCTAAATTATGGAAGTATCCTTTCTAATGGATGGTTCTGATGTCAAACTTTCAGGCTAGCGGCGTTTTCCTGTTATATGAAAGTTATTCTTTCTTGTCTTAATTCGCATGGCCGAAGTCAGGTGAGCTTGGCTTGTCCAAGAGTCATTTGAACCAACATAATTTTTTTTTCACCGTCTTATCATTCACTAATAATCTTAAGCTAGATCTTACGTCCGGCAGTAAATTCGCAACTTGACTGTACAGCACGCAACATTAAAAAACTGACCACCCAGAATAACTTTTGATCCAATGATCGGTTTCTCCTGTTCTAAAATTCAATCTTAATGGTTAAAGGGGGGGGGGGAACCACAAATATGTTAATTAGTGCAGACGGTATTTTAAGTAGTGAAATCAGACGTCCTTTTTCTGAATAAACATGTTTTTTTCCCCCCGACGAATTTGGATTTCTAACCCCCGAATTATAAGGGGTAACCGCAACCAGGGAAATATGGTCCCCATAGTTTGATCAGGAGAGCGAAGCCAAAGTTAGGGCCTTTAAATGTTAATTTTATTTTTTGCGTATTTCGTCATATCTGGAGAACTTTTTAAAAAATTGAAATTTTTTTTCTACACAACTATAAAATTCGTTTATCCAAAAGATAATGCCATGAAATAATTCCACTAAAATATAACTTTTCGTAAATATTTATTATTATTTAATGTAATACTGATTGAAAAGATTTTGAATAATGAGTTATAAAAATTTTTACAACATTTTAACGGGTGTTATTTTACAAGGCAAAATACAAAATTTAATCAAAATCGTTCGAATAGTTCCTGAGAAATCGAATTTTGAAAATACCGCTTCTTTAAAATAATCTGTGTTTTACCATGTTAAATTACATTCTTTAAAATTATGTAAAAAATTGTATTGTATACCTTTCAATTCAAAATTTGTTCAACTAATATTAAATAAAATAATAAATACTTATTAAAAGTCATATTTTTCATGGAATAATATTTGGATAAACGAATTTTGTGTTGTGTTCAATAGTTTTTCAATCCGCTTTATGTGTTTTCGAGGCATCGCGAAATACGCCAAAAATAAAATTAACAAAAAATAAAATTAACCGTGGTCTAAACTTTAGAACGCAATGGGGGACCATATTTCCCACGTTGCTGCTGCCACCTATATATACCTATACGAATTCGTCAAAAAAATGGTATGTTTATTCATCGAAATTACGTTTTTGCGACTGATTTTTTAACTAAAAATATCGTCTGCACTAATTAATTAGTATATTTAAGGTCATTCCCTTGAATCATTAAGACAGAGTCCTAGAACATGAAGATCCGATCATTAGTATCAAACGTTATTCGGGGTAGTCCGTTTTTTATTATGCTCACTGTACATCAAAAACAAATGAATTAGTTTTGATATACTGTATGTAAGTAAGATGAAAACGAATATAATAAGTAGAATCTTAGACACGGAAACTAAAAACTGCTATAAACGTGGAAAACGAATTAATTGTCCGAATCTCGACCTTTCTTTCCGAGTCATTTTAAATATGTAGTGGCGCCATCTAACAAGCATTAGCGACTTAAAGCTAAATAAAAATGACTCAGAGTTAAAAGAATTAACTAAAAAGAAAAATGAAATAACAATTACTTCTTTATAAATAATGATGTCTTTATAAAAACTTATTCAAATCTTACAAATTTTTATTTTAGTTTTATGCTTATTTAGTTTATTTAGCTATAAGTACACGTCCTTTTTTTCAGACATCAATATATTTAATACTTTGCATTTGAATCAATTTAAAAATAATTTCAAGAGTTATTCAAAATGAGATGAATTTTATAATTCTATATGAACCTGCTTAAATTGAATTCAACTGTGTTAGTTCAAATTCAAAATTTTTTATTAAAATTCGTAAACAAATAGTGAAGTCATATTAATCAGTTATAAAACTAGAAAGTTGCTTAATGATGCAGTTATTTTTTTGCCACTACACAGTAAAAAATTTAATGCATAGGTGCCCACCATTTTTGATTTTGAAGTATATTAAAAAATTTTATAACGCATATAGTCACAAATTTTATTTACCTTTTCGCTGTTATATAGTATTATTAGTTTATTCATGTTTTGTTTTTGAAAACACATATTTTCACGAGCATTAGAATTAATTTAATGACTTCATTACAAAAATATTTCTTTTAAAAAACAAGCATATTCTTTGTAATATATTTGCCTAATTTTTTCAAATAATTGTTATTTTATCAATTCTATATAATTTTTTCCACGATAACTACCTTTCTGTACTTAAAACAGCATTTTCAGGCTGGCCACCAACGACTACAAATGCAAAAAGTATTAGGCAATCATAGGCTTAGGCTAAGCCAAGTATAATACGGAGCACCTGTCCGCGAAGCGTACACTCCACTCCTTCATCATAATGTAGTGCCGTAGGCGCCTGTAGTACTGACGTTAGCAAGGGATACTAGAGAAGTAGCAGAAGCTTTGGGTAACGCAGGTCTATACTCTGTGTCTGGCGAAATAAATGTGAAATTGTAGATCAATAATAGATTGAGAACAGTTAAAGGTAATTATTAAGGCCCGGATTT